AAGCTCACTGTTACTATAACGTTAATATTAAGCATGCACGACCGAAGGAATTATCCAGTCTCCTGCTGTCAACCTGCCATGTGCATAAAGTGTAGTCTGTTTATTACGAGTTGCGACGGGCCTATACCTGGACAGCAGACAAATGAATTCTCCTGATATATTCTTATTACATGATATGTTTCCCTGAAGATGGAGGCATTTTGTTCGCAAATATGGGCCCCGGCTGGGAAGGGAAAGCCAGGCATCTGCTCCCCATAACGAATTTAAAAAAAGTCTAAACAAAAACGTAAGTAAGTATAAAAGATTAGTCTTAAACGCAGTTACTGACTTAATGGACATTATCCATCGGCCTGTTTTTATATAAAACAATGCTTCTGGTGTCCGGAGATAGGAACTAGGTTTATCAATTGGGCCCAACTGAGTTTGCTTTTTACCGGAGAACGGAGGCACAGTCCAGTCTCCGAAATGTCGCTTTAAATAAAAAAAAAGGACGGTCGGTCGATAGTAATATCCAGAAATTTAATAATTGTAGTAATATACCATCGTCACGAACTTTCAGATTTTCACCTTAAACGGCTGAAACGTAAGCGCGTAAAGAAGTTTTCTGGCTATCCTCCCGTGGACAAGAAAAAAAAGTTGGCAGCTCCAATATTCGGAAACGCTGGTTAACATCTACCAGACTACACGGTACTATAATTCAAGAAACCGCAACCTAGCACAAATCTGTATCTGGCTTCAAAGTACATCCCAGGGCTGTTGGTAAAAATATTATAAAGCAAAAACATATCTCATATATGGTAATGTCATTTACGTATTTACCTACAATCATTGCGCGTCTGTTCAGTAATAAATATAATTGGCCTCGACTTGTTAAATAATCCCAACTCCACCCTCCTGAACGCAGTGCTGAGCCTTGCTGTCACATTAGATGTACCAAAGTCTGGCTGGAAAAACTGGAGGAATGTAGCATCGAATAGAGAAGAATGGCGAGCAATCCTGAGGAAGACCAGGGCTCACAAAGAGCTGTCGTGCCAGTGATGATGATGATGATGAAAGTCTGGCTGGTTACTGGGGGAATGCTAACTACCAATCCTTATAAGACGTACAAGGTTTGTCCGGAAAGTAATGCAATTAAGTTCGTAAAAAAAATTTATTCAAGATATTGTTACAAACATTTAAAGTTCTTCAAAGTATTCCCTTGGGCATCCACACACTTTTGCCAGCGACTTCTCCATGCACGCTACGCATCCTGGAAGGCGTCGACGGGGACCTCGCTTAGAGCCCTTGTCACGGCGGTTTGGATCGCTTCAATGGTTCCAAAACGGGTTCCTTTCAGGGCGGTCATTTTCCTCGGGAACAAAAAGAAGTCTGCGATCACTCGCGATCGTCACTCGGTTGTTCTTGTGGTCGTCAGTCAACAATTTGGTGATCAACTTGGCAGTTGTGCAAATTGTCGGTAACGATGCCGTGCACAGTGGTTTTCGGAACACTGAGAGTCTCTGCTACCATCCGAACACTCATTCGACGATCGGCATTTAAAAGATCACGAACACGAGACACATTTTTGTCACTTTTACTGGTTGACTGCCGTCCAGAGCGGGGGTCATCCTCCACCTCTTCCTGGCCATTTTTAAACAACTTTAACCACCTGGAGACTTGAGAATAGGAGAGAGCAGAGTCCCCGTAGGCTTCCTGAATCATTTGGTGGGTGTCGGCGAGGCTTTTGTTCAGTTTAGCACAGAACTTGATCGCGTAACTTTGTTCGATAGTTTTCTCCATTGCGCATCATGACACAGCCACTAACAGGACGTTCACAGAACCAACGATCCTGACGCTCCCAGAGCTCAGAGCCCTCAGAGCAGACTGAGCAGACTGAGCTTGGAAGCGCTGTGAAGCTAAGAGTCCCCTCCCCCTTTCCCAATCGGTCCGAACGCTCTGCGACCAGGAGGAGCGGCGGGAAAAGACAAATTGCATTACTTTCCAGACAAACCCTGTATATGCTTCTGCCATCTAGTAGAGACAGAAGAAGTTACATACTTGCGTTAAAAATGGATTGAACAGGTGAAAAATTTGCGGTTCGTGTCCTCTTTTTTTCATCACGTATGCACATGCGCGGTACCCTAGAACGGATACTGTACTTGTACCTAATGAACTTGCACCTATGTCGGGCTGGTGGTGTTGGTGGTCTATGGGTAAGGCATTGGCCTAGTGTGGAGAAGTTCCGAGGTTCGGAACCAACCGAAGTTTGGCCGCGCCATAGCTCAAGCGGTTAGTCGCTGGCTTCCCATCGCGGCGGCCCGGGTTCGATTCCAAGTCTGGTCAAATGGGATTTGTGGTGGACAAAGTGGCGCTGGGGCAGGTTTTCTCCGAGTGCTTCGGTTTCCCCTGCCAATCTTCATTCCACCAATTGTTCCACAATCACCCTCACCTATCATCTGGGGCTGGTACAATAGGCCACAAGTGGCCGCAGTACAAGGGACTCAGTCCTACCCCACTAGCAATAAAAAAAAATATGTCGGGCTGGCGTAGTCGATTTCGTCGATATAGCGACTGGCTACAAGCTGGATGACCGAGGGGTCGGAGTTCGCGTACCGGTAGGGTCGAGAATTTTCTCTTCTCCATGTCGTCCTGACCGGCTGTAGAGTCCACCTAACCTCCTATCCAATGGGGACCAGGTGATCTTCCTCTGGGAGTAAATTGGGCGGGGCGTGAAACTGATCGCTCACCTCCAACTAGTGATGAGGTCAAGAAAAAGTGGGTCTGTACATCCACTCCCCAATACGCCTTCATGGCGTAGTGCTTAATTAGTTTACCTTACTAGTTTACTTTACCTTTACCTTACTTTTACTTCCATGGGGTTTTCCTCCTCATCCATATTACTGTCGAACAGTAAGCTTCATTTATTACCAAAGAAAATCTAATAACATTTCCTATGAGGCACAACTGATCTTGTGGGTAGCAATAAAGCAGTCGGAAATTTAAATCTCTCTCTTCCATGCAAGATTCTTTTAACAAACTGACTTGTCCCATTTCTTCCAGCTTGCTAACTCAGTACAGGGAAATGTGTATTGAAAAGCTGACAGGCAAAACATGCGACATTCAAAACTGGAAAGAAAAAAAAATTACGAGTATATTTTCAACATACAATGGCAGCCAAAATTACCAAATCAAAATCTTGTTGAACACACAGAACTTTGCTCCTGTAATATTTCCTACATAATCTCAAAGATGTTTCAGGCTGGCTGCAGGACTTTAAATCTTAATTTAGTTAATGTTTAAATATCTTGTACTTAAAAGAATGTTACAGCTGTGTTATATAAATTTACATGATGCTTAATTAAATTAAATTACTACATCTGTTTCTACAGTAAGCATTACTTACAACCTTCTCCATTTTGAGACTTATTTCTGTACAAAAGTGAGGAATGCATGGATAGTCATAACAAAACTTTAAAGAAACATTTTATTTATTTTCTTCTACTACAAACTCTTACAATCAATGTGACAGTTCATGTAACAAATTTCAATAAGGCACACAAATAATTATTTATGTTTTTGCATTACTACATAAAATTTTAAAAACTACTAAATTTCGTTAATAAATACATTTTGGATAAAAGGCACATGTTCAAGGGAAGAGGTAGGAAATCATCATCATCTGGTCTCTGACATTCAAATGCATTGGTGTTTATAAAATCTTGAAACTATTCTGACATATGATAAAATATGCAGTTGCACTGCCAATATCAAATCAACATAGATGCTGTTTGCATTGCTCAAATTTTCTTTCTTAGTAGGCAGAAAATGGGAATATTTTGTGGAAGCACTAACATATACTACATAACCAGTACCACCTGAAACTTTATTAACCCACTGTCAATTGAGATCTGTCTCCAAGATGTTTTTGGCCTCTCTATCCAAAGAGCTATACCATGCTTCAAGTACGTTTAAAAGTGTGATCTATACAATACTTAGTCTTCTTGCCCAAAGATGGCAGACTTGTTCTCATGTGTGTTCCTTTGACCAAGGAATGCATTTTAATTATCAATAAATATCAAATGAGATAATGCTGTAACAAAAAATGGATTTGTTATCAACCAAAATGTAGCTGCAAGAGGTAGGCATGGTTAACTTAAAGGACAAGGTTGAAAATCTAACTGTACATTCTAATAACTGCAAGAGTACATTTTTTATAATCTGGTTAATGGTCAAATTTAGAGTTTGGTTGCTCGAACAGACTGTTCACATAGAGTTTACTGTATCTTCAGTGCAATTCTTTTCTGTCTTTCATTTAGCTACATCACAGCAGTGAAAATTCTTACAGACTGAAGAAGTGAAAATTTTATTCAATTCAAGCCCAACAATTAAAAAATCTTTACCTAATTAATCGTCTTCCCAGACTTCAAACTTCAGGAATCAAGTTACATTAATACATTATCATGATCTGCATTAAATGCTTGTCAGTTCTGCTACATACAGTAAAACTTGGTTATAGCAACATCGGTTTCTGCGACACCTTGTCTATTGCATCAAATATTCAATGGTACGAACTAATTCCTCATAAAGCAACTGTTTTTATACCTTGCTTAGTACGATATGCACAAATGCATCAACCTCGTATGTAACGTCACTTTCATTCCTGAATTTCTCTGATATGGACATTGAACATGATTTAGAAAGTGTGTATTGGGCAAGTAACAGGAAACAGATGAAGATAACTGATTACTGTACTCATATATAGTAAGGCACAACAATTGTTGTAATCTACTGTAATTTGGTGAGTAGGCCTACCTTTAATATACAGTGTTAGTGCGGTGTGTATTGTCAGTGAAAAGCGCTGTAATATGTCTTTGATATTACACATTTGGGCAATTCCACGTTAATGTTACGTTAGTCTGTACTTAACTACGTATTTCACTAAAAAATGCAACATTTTAACTCGGTTTTTGGTAGATTTTTACGTGACTAACATAAGGCTACTGTGGAAGTGCCCATTTCGGTTACAACGACATTCGTTTATAACGACACTATTTTTAGGTCCCTTTGATGACGTTATAACCAAGTTCTACTGTACTTATTTTAATAATCTGCTCGCCAGACAGTTCAGACTAACGAAAATCCAAATAGGTCTGTATGTGATGAAAGGACAAATAGTTGTCATGCCCAGAACCACTGAGGCTGAACTGCATTAAACTTCCAAAGATCAGGTAGACCAATATGTGTTTTATTAGCAAACCGGCTCTTGGACCACTGGAAAGGAACACCAAGGAACTTTATATTTTCAGAACTGTCATTTTTGCTATTTTCAACGAACATGTTTGGAGGTCCTGATATAACATGTAACTTTGTTTTCTGGAATGGAGAAGCCACCACAATCTTAGAATCAATGGTGCCCATGGGGGGAAGATTATAGGGCATCGGGGATGAACTATTGTCTGGAGGAACAAGATGGGAATTCAACAAGAAAGTGTTATTTCTCATTAATTGCATCACTGATGTCAGGTTAACAGCAACTTCCTGGCCATAATACAAGGCTTGACTACCAGATCCTTCAGCTGTTCCTGTCCTTCTTTTTCGGGTGTTATCCTGAAATAAGCAGACTGTGTTTTACTAATCAATTTACAATTATTATTTTAATAATATTTGCCACTTAAAAGTATTCCATACAGCAGGAACATCGAAAAATCTTGTAACAAATGCAACTATTTACAATATGAGGGTTATTCAAATAAAATTTATTTGCAGTGCTCCTAGCAAATTCAGCCAGTCACAGGTGCCTGGATCATCAGCAGTTCAACAGAAGCTGTGTAATGGAAGCAGCATGTGAGAGCAAACAGGAACAGTGGCGGTGGATTTCAAGGATCTTGACAGGATCACTGCAGGGCTACTGCGGCACCCACTACCTGGGCTTGTTACAGCATAACTTCCTTGTGTTCAGCTTCCACCGCCAGCCCCCCACATGCACACACACACACACACACACACACACAAAAGAGGCAACTGATTTGGGTTGGATGAAGGTATTAAGGTTGTGGTGAAACAGTGGCTCCAGCAGCAGCCAAGACAGCATCTGTGGACTGGTCTGTTGATGGGACGCTTGCCTCACTACCCACAGGGACTATTTTTAATACTCCTCTGAAAAGAAAAATCCCCCATACAGTTTCATTTGAACAAACCACATACATATCACTCGTTTTCCATACCTTATCTTCAATTAAATTCCATTAAGATATTCTGATAAAACAGTTCAGTACTTACATGCTATGTGACTGAAAATAAGTAACAAAAATACAAAATAACATAGATGCAGAAATTTTCAATAATGCAGCCACAGAAATACTGAAAAATAAAATTAAATTTAAAATGGTCCTGTGAAGCATGGCACTCTCTTCAATGCAAAATGGGAAACAGAAAATGTTAAAAGAGTTCTACTACAGTGACAACGAAGTTTATATTTTATTGCAAGGTTACAGACCAAAAATGAAATGTCAAATTCCAGAATATAGGTTTGAGCCATTGAAACATTCTACTGAGAAGTGAAGCCATGTAGTCTGGAATACAGCTAGTAGAATTTCAACCATGAAGTTGGAGGCAGTGTATTCGTGTGAAACGCTGTTAACAATTTATCAGATTACATGTTGTCACATCCCAGGAGACAACGGTCTTCATATGCATTGCTGTGGGAAATTCAAATCTCAGTAGTATGAATAGCAAAGGTAAAAATGCTACATATGGGAGAGTGGGATCGCCTCTGTGGTCTAGTGGTCAGAGTTCCAGGCTAGAGATCCAGAGGTCCCAGATTCGATTCCCAGCGCTACCAGATTTTCTGAGAAGTGGTGGGTTTGGAACGGGGTCCACTCAGCCTCGTGAAGATAATTGAGGAGCTATTTCAAGGAAACAGCGGCTCCAGTCTTGAAAACCGAGATTAACGGCTGTGGGCATCCGTTGTGGTGGCCACGTGACACCCTCTATCATCAAAAGTTGGCCCTAACTTCGCCTACAAGTGGCAGTTGCTTGGTCAGTATAGTTGGTTTGCAGACTACAGGGAGAGTGGAGATATAGATCGTATTTTCTTAAACTCAGCACCAGATGGAGATGAGTGGTCAGCTGCAGCCCTCAGCCCTGTGGGCCAGCCTCCATTACCCACTGCACAGGAGACTGAATGAGACCAAGAGCCAGTCTGGATGCTGTGATGAAGAGAAATCTATTTCCCCTGATTTCTCAGCTGCCCAGTCTGCAGCCTAGTCAATGTGCTATGTCTGCTATCCAAGCTCCAGTTTCAGCAATATTATTTCACTCAATACGTGTATAGTGACTGATCACAGAATGGGTAGACTGGAACATTTTGGACTTCTCAATTGTAACTACTGGATGGATGACAGAACGGTCGGAACTCGAGTCCCAGTAGGGTCAAGAATTTTCTCTTCTCCACGTCATCCAGAACGGCTTTGTGGTCGAACGAACCTCCTATCTAATGGGTACCAGGGGTAAAGAAGCAGGGATGTGAAGCTAACCGCTCACCTCCAACTAGTGTAGCGGTCAAGAAACTGTGGATCTATACATCCACCCCCTCATACGCCTTCATGACATAGTGCTCAATAAGTTAAGCACAGGGACAATTTTACTTTACCTTACCTTACCATACCTGTACAAAATTATGTTCAAATTGGCTGCAAGGTCTAACCACCTTTCTGATTCTGTGGTGGTTTATATGCAGGAATGATTTTACCTTAACCATAAAATAAATGGTTAGCTGCTGCTGCAGAATTGAAAGTGATCAAAAACAAGAAGGACCATACCTGATAATAAGGAAGTCCATTTGAGATCCAAAAGCCAGTAGTCTGCAGTGTGTGAGTCTCATCTGCATAATGTGTCAGTCCTGACAACTGCTCAACAACCCACAGGAGGCCTCTGCTCACTTTGGGTGTTTTCTCAACATTTTGTTGCTTTGATTGTGGGTTGGAGAGCAATTGGCTTGAAACCTTCTTATTCATTGGCAGAGCAGTGATGGCCTCTGTGCCTGCTATCAGGCTGTAATCTACAATCAGCCACTGTTTGCTGCCTGTACCACTATTTGCACGTCGCAAATACCATCCCCAGAAACGACCGCCTTGAGCCAATCTATTTGCTGCCATTGCCCTTGGACCTATAAGTACCTACAAAGAAAAAAAAAAGTAAAGTAAAGCTATCCCTGTACCAGGCCGTGAAGGCCCATAGGGTTATGAGATGTTGAGGGTCCCACATTATCTAGACAATCAGCTCAAAGATAGCGGTAAGGTTGCTAGCCTTACGTGGCGGCCGCGCTTTACTCCCCAGGAAAATTATTTAATTAATCCCTGGTAACTCATAATAAGATCACCAGTAAAAGACACAAAAAGTGCAATTTTATGATATCACATGGGTTGAAAATTTGGGACCCATGTTGCTAAAAATTAAAATCTCAGTTGTTGGACCTGAGGTTCTAATAGGGCGACCATGAAGAGTGTTGTCTTCTGGGATGTGACACCATAAAATCTGGTTAAAGTTCACCAACTTTTCAGAGGAATGTACTGCCTGCATCTTGAAGGTCAAAGAGAAAGCCAAGTAACCAGTAAAAGAAAACAGTAAACACTGCTTACTTGATTTAATCTTTGACCCTGAAGATAGAAGCAGTACATTCCTCCAAAACATCAGCAACCTTTTCCAGACTACACAATATTACATCCCAGAAGATTTGTCATTACATCTCAAGGTAGTTAGATAGTTGATTCTCACCACAGAGACTTGGGTTCACTTTCTGATGACTTTATGTCAAATTCATGGTGAAGAAGGTTACACTGTAATAGGTTTTATTCCCAAGTTTTTTACGTTTTCCCCTACTAATCATTATTCCATCGTTATCCCATAGTCATCTATCACCACTTACTGAATTGTGTGATAGCTCTGACCAAACAGCACATTACACATCACATTCTTGGTCTTAAAATTTGGGGCTCTTCTTAGATCTAGCATTATGTCGAATCATAATATAGACCAAGGAAGTTTCTTATATATTTTAAAGTTAAAATTATTCAGTAAATCTCAGATCTAATCTGGTATCTGACTGTCACAGAGTAAGGAATATTCAGGAGTAAGAAATATTTCTTAATGCATTCTTAAAGAGAAATTTGTTCAGAGAAAACAATTATAAGAATAAACTTTAGTTACAGTTTAATCATTTGGTATATCTTGTTGGCTCCAAAAGCATACTTCAGAATTCACCACCTTGAAATGTAAATACTTCTGTTCTGCACCACAGGAGGAACATAGCAAAAGTCAGAGATGAAATGAGATCAGAGAGAATTTTGTTTGTAACAGCTATAATGGAAGTAGAAAATCATTGAAATTATGCTTGGTAGACAATAACAACAAATTCTTACAGAAATTTGGTTTTGAAACCTCTCAAGAAAGTTTGAAACACAGAAGAGCAGAGAATAATGTTAAATTGGATCTTAGGGAAATAAATTACGAGGATGAGAGGTGGATGAAATTGGCAGACTTTGGTAACAGCTGTGTTAAACCTCAAGGGATCTACTACAAGGGCTAGTCACATAAAGTTTATACTTTTTATTACAAATAATTCTAACAATATGACTATCTTCTTTCTCTATCATAGCAAGGACTGGACCAAAATCCTATTCTGAAGATACTTGAACTGTTCCTTCCTGCTCTTTCTATGTGTATATCAACATAGGATAAGTGTTCCCATAGGACTGTAACAATATGTTTGCCCTATAAACAACCAGTGGTCATCCTTGCAATATGTTCCTTCCACATTCTTTGGTACTGCCTAACTTCTTCTGTCACATTTTCTACTTCCAAACATTCTCATATATCCTTATTTCTCATTTTGTCACTCAATATAATTCCTAACAACACCCTCAAAAATTTCTTTTGAGATCTATGAAAGGACTGAAATGTACATGGCAGAAGTTGTTGAAACTGTGGTCTTCTAGGTTGTGACACCAGGTGGTCACCAATGTTTCAGGGAAATGCTGCCTCTGTGTTCAGAGCCAAAGATAATCCTGAAAACATTCCTCAAAATGGTGGCATCCACCTATGTGATTACACAGTCTCATGACCCCCAGGATCACAACTGGATCTCTAATTTAATTTTATAACCTTTACAAGCATATCATAACATTTAGGTAAATACTCATGCATAACATATAAAGGAATCAACCAAGCTGCTGGTAGCAAATACAGTAAAACCCTCATCGAAAGTTTCTTCTGGGAGCAGTGGATTTGTATACTAACCTAGAGAAAATCTTAAATGAGTGTAATTTAACACTAAATAAGGAGAAATCTTAAATCAGGGAACATTAAACATCAAATGTCATTTAATATGAGACTGATATAAGCTTTCTAACATATAATTTCAAGTTTATACTTTGCTTCATTGTAGTTGAACTATTTATGTATCATATCAACTCCAGCTTCTATTACCTGCTCTTCCTGAGCAAAGCTACCCAAGGAAGTTCTGTTGTAGAAGTTGAAGGCTGTACCCAGAATTGCAAGTTGATGTTGTCTCTTGCCAAATTGTGGTCTTCCTGACACCAAGTAGAAGTCATCCTGTGAGTGGATAACACCAGGGTATGATGAAAATGTTATTACTTGTCCAGGAACCAGGTGTGAAGCAGTCTCTGATGTGTGGTGATAACTCAACTGGTAGCATTTCAACACTCGCAGCATGGACTGGAATCTAAAACAAATTTGACAGTATTATTGAGATATAGAAGACTATGAAAAGCTGAAAATATTACTAGCAAAGGAGGCAAAGAAATAATACAAAATTTTGGATGGGGAATTCTCTTGAAAATATAATCAAGGAGGACATAAAAACACAGCAGTTGGAGAGAACTTAGGGAAGTCAGGTGTGAGGATGACAAGCAGAGAGAAATGGCTCAGAATTATGTCCACAAGCAGACTCCGCTCTTATAGCGGTTACAACGTTCAAGTTCAGACACTAATCTTGGTTTGTTCATTAGTTACTTACTCAAATAGTTATTTAAACTACAAATTTTCATAAGCTACACAAGGCCAACATTAGAAACCAGTAATTCTGCTTGTTATACCCAATCATCAGAACCCTCTGAATCTACTTTTACAACCAGTATGGATCTGGTACATACCCTTCCTTTAGGAAATCAGAATGCTAAAACCCTCAGTCATATAACTTTCCTCATGGGATGCAAATCTCGGGGAACTATCCCCAAATACTTCTCTGTAGATTCTCATCAATAGCCGACATTCTTCCAAAATTGTCCACCATGCTAGTAAGGCACTTCTCAGTGACAGGATACATTTTCAATAGGACAACAGGATGATGGACAAAGTCCAAGAACCCAGTAATTTTGTGTTATGTACCGCACTCAGAACCCTTTACAGTCTACCAGCCCAAAACACTTATTAATATGATCCAAGAGGAAGAATTACAAGAACAGATCTCCATGACGTAGTGTTTGGTGACTGGGCAAGAAATTTCCTGACTTTCTAGAATGCAAATGTACTTCACAGGAGAAAAAAATTTTTAATGGACTCTGTCCTTAGTTAAGGAAACCTTGTAAGGTAAAAGGTAAAGTTTGCCTTGTGCCTAATTAAGTACCACGCCATGAAGAGGTCTGGGAGAATGGAGATATAGCTTCACCATCCAGGGGCTCAGCACTAGATGCAGTTCAAAAATTAATTAAATAAATCTTAGATGGTAGTTTCGCTAAAGTTTGATTTATGATGGAAAATAAAGCTCTGCACCTCTCATTCAATGGTTAATTATCAATGTTGCCAGTTAATGGTTCTTCTAGAATGGTTAACCTATTCAGGTAACAATCTAACTCACAAGAAAACTTGACAAATGATACCTTTTAAAAGGTGCTATACTTATCCTTCAAAAATAGCAGACCAGCCATTGTTCTATTGCATGCATTTTTTGTGATTTTACACATGTTACTGTCCTTGACGTTCATTTGTTGGTGATGAAATTTTTTACTGCCACAATTACTAGTATTTATGTAAAGTCATGTATGTACAACTCCTGTGGGATTATTGTTAAACCTGTGAGGCTAACGCTTGTTATGCTGTTGTTATATATCATAATAGTCATTAAGAGTTGATGACAATTGTGAATAGGATCAAAAAATGTTATTAAAAATGCCTGCAGAAGATATTTTTCGATTGTTATTACAGTGTCCACCTTTCCTGAAGAAAGCTGTCAGCATGCTTTTAGAGGGCAGCACAGTAGAGAACTTTTTTGTTGTGCTTAGCATCTTAGTACAATTACAGCAGCTATTCCAGAATTCTTCAAGTCTTTGAGGTTAGATATTCTTAACAAAGTCTGTTCTGAGAGGGAAAGAATGCTGTACATACACATAAGCATCAGCAATGAATGCTGAGGTCAATGAGATAAGAAAAACCGCAAGGACCACATATGAAAATGATGTATCGTTCAAATTAGAGCAGTTTTTCTCTCATGTTCTATATTGTATGGATGCAATATTCAGTCTCACGCTATGTGAGAAGAAATCATAATAAAACAACTAATGGGATGAAGGATCCATGAGTGTGAAAAAGATGAGGCTGTGAAACAGATAAAATTACTTAATAATATACAGAGGGGTCCAAAAAAATGTACTCACTCTCTGATACTCAATATGTTTGGAACAAAATGACATGTAGTTACAATTCTTGCGTGGAGAGAGAGAGTCACTGTATGTGTTCGAAGTGACCACCATCAGCGGCTAAACAGAGATGATGCCGCTGAACTGCTGAGTGAACTACGGCTGTCAGTGTGTCCTGTGTGATGGCTGCACACGATGCTTCAATGGTTTCTCATAGCGCGTTCAGAGTAGCTGGCGTTTGTTGATAAACTTCATCCTTCAAGGTTCCCCATAAGTAGAAGTCAAGAGGTGTTAGGTCTGGAGACCGTGGTGGGTATTCAATAGCACCTCTTTGACCTATCCATCGTCCAGGTAGAGTGTCATCGAAGTATGTCCTGACATCTCGATGGTAGTGAGGTGGAGCACCATCTTGTTATAGGTAAAATCTCTCATCTCCAAACAGCTCTCGAATGGCAAGGAAAATCGATGTCTGAAGCATATCAAGATACACCACAGCACTGGAAGCTGGACTTGTTACTATCCGTGGTTGCCCAGACCTTTGCTTATGCACATCAAGAACAGTACCGTTGGCTTCAAATTTATCCCGAATACGGGCAATTGTTCGATGTGTTGGTGGCTGAGTTCCAAATTCNCCCCCCCTCTGTATTTGTATTTCAGGGAGCCAGGATAGTGCAGTGGGTATAGTGGATGGCTAATGGGTCGGAGTTTGAGTCCTAGTGGGTCAAGAATTTCCTTTTCTCCATGTTGTCCACACCAGCTTTGGGGCCTAGCCAACCTCTCCCATACATCTTCATTTCATAGTGCTACATTAATTAGGCACAGGGACAACTTTATATTTTATACTTGTATGCGGTAGTATAGTGGTTGAGGTGCTATGCTACAAGTCGGAAGGTCGCGGGTTCAAAAATGATGAGGTCATTGGATTTTTTTTCAATCGACCTAATACTTCCAGCCGCACTATGGCCCTGGGGTTCACTCAGCCTCTAACAGAAATGAGTACCAGGAATTAAATAAATAAATTTCCTGGGAAGTAAAGCGCAGACGGCGCGTAAGGCTGACAACCTTACCGCCATCTTGGAGCCAATTGTCTAGATAATGTGGGACCCTCAATGTCTCACAACCCTACGGGCCTTCATGGCCTGTTACAGGGATAACTTTACTTACTTTAATTCAAGTCACTTCTAAAGGGTACAGATGATGGCTCAGGATTACTCAGTTTCTGGACTTTGCCCATTACCTAATATGTTAAATAAACACGTTCTGGGAATTTGACCTGTTTCCGTCATCATGTGAAAGGTTGCGGGGGGTACCTATTCAGTTGTCTCTTTATACAGAGCTAGCCTTAAGGACTGGATTGAAACAGATCCTATTTCTGAAATATGTTCTTTTAGAATATTAGATGATGAACAAAGTCCCAGAACTCAGTAACCCTGAAGGAATTCATGACTTACACTAGCCAATTTAGAATACAAGAATCATCAGATTAAGGGAGTTAAGATTAGGCACACAGTGTGTTAGAAAATGATGTGATAAAATGTTACAATGCATCTACGAAAATGTTTTGATTAAGTTAATTCAGTAACATTGACTCAGGACAGATTCAATTTTAGGCTGAAGTGACATAACTGAAATTTATTTTATTTCCATTCAACTAAAATTAGTCAATATCAGAAGATGTCAGTGGTTCTGAGTAATGAGTACTCACAGTCCTCCAGAGTTGTGGGCTGCATATAGCTCCCCAGTTTCTGCATGAAACTTGACGAATGCAGATGAAAAACTAGCAGCTGTGGAGAATATGAATGGATGTTTTGTGTCATCTAGTGCACTGTTATATATCTGTTCCATGTCAACCAAATCACTCACTATGTTCATCCATCTGAAACAAGAGGAAATGTCCAAGATATGAGTTTCAGTCATGAAATGCTATTCACTATCTAAAATACTTTACAAGGATAGGTTATGCTTTGAGCAGGCAATTGTATGGAATAAAATGAGGTCTCCAGTATGGCAATTTTGTTCCCATCATGTACTGAATCTAGCAATTTTCTAATAATGATGCAAAAATTTATATCTATATATGATAATGGGCCGCTCACAGTAGCCGAGTGGTCTACAGCATGTACTGTCTTCGCTCGCTTGGAAACCAGGATCGTGGGTTCGAATCCCACTCAGGGCATGGATGTTTAGTTTGTGTGTGTGCATTTTTCTGTGTTTGTGTACAGGTAGAGGCCTTGCAATGAGCTGATCACCCGCCCAAGGAGTCCTACCGAATGTGTAAGATTTAGAAAAACCGAAGTGAACGGAGTAGTTGATGGAGGTAGGCCTAGGCCCACTGGGGCTGTAGTGCCAAGGAAAAAAAAATATGATAATGGAGGGCACACGGTAGTATAGTTGGTTGAGGCACCATGCTGCAAGCAGGAATGTCGTGGGTTCGATTACCAAGGAGGTCATTAGATTTTTCAATATACCCAATCCTTCCAGCCGCACTATGGCCCTGGGGTCGACTCAGCCTCTAATTGAAATGAGTACCAGGAATCTTCCTGGGGGAAATGGGCAGCCAGCGTGTAAGGCTGGCAAGCTCACTGCCATCTATGAGCTGATTGTCTAGAGAAAATGTGTGAGCCTCAATGTCTCACAACCCTATGGGCCTCCACGGTCTGTGACAGGGATAGCTTTAGCTAGATAAGATGTCAAACTTTGAACAAGATAGAAAAGAATAGAGGTTCTGTATATATGGCAAAGACTTTACTTACAAAAAGTCAAGGTGAGAAATGTCAATATCTTGTCTGCTTCTCTTTACTCCATGTCTCCAGCCAGTTTCCAGTCCGTCTAACTGAACATAGAATAGATGTACCTAGCACAGAAAGAAGACAAATGTTATTCCCATGAATACTGTCAGAGTGCAAATATGCATTCAGACTAGACTCTTACGTTACATATTGGTTTCCACAATATAACTCCAGGTGTCATCTGTAATGTGGAACAATGTGACAATTCTATGTATAATTTATTTGCTTGAATTTGTTTCTAGTGTGCTCCCTGCAGTCAGTATGTCACATAAAGTATGCTGCATAACATGGCAGCTGACATGTTAAACTGACACTTGGTTAGAAGATGCAACGTTTTGGAAGCTGGCTCTTCTCCTATGATCAGGAAGAACTATGATATCTAGTATGCTGGCTCTATTAAATGGAGTTAACCTCAATCCCAGATTAGGGCCAATGTATTGGATTCAATAGACTAGATTTCAAATTTTGAAATTTAATTTTGTGAATGCTGTCAGTTTTTCCTTAATGAATGCTAGCTTGGAAGAACAAACTTTCGCTTATGTCTGTACAAAATGTGGGATTATTAAAACAGCTGAGATGTGGAAACAGTACTGAGTACATGTAGAGATCACTGTGTTTAAAGATCACCTATTCTAAAAATGTGATCATAATTAAAGCAATTACAGAGAAACAGAACATGTAAGGACCCTAGGACACAGAATAAGAAGAAATAAAGATAAAACTATCCCTGTAACAGGCTGTGAAAGTTCACAGGGTTGTGAGACACTGAGGCTCCCACATTTTCTAGACAATCAGCTCACAGATGGCGGTGAGGTTGTCAGCCTTACATGACAGCACGCTGCCCTTTACCCCCCAGGAAGATTCCTGGTACTCATTCCTGTCAGAGGCTGAGTTGACCCCATGGCCACATTATGGCTGGAAGGATTAGTCAATTGAAAAATCTACCTCATCAGGATTCAAACCCGTGACCTTCCAGCTTGTAACATAGTGCCTCCTCCAACTATGCTACCGCGTGCCTAGAAATGCAAGAGATAATCAATTCTTATAACACACCTGGTGCCAGAAAGGATCACTATCTCCGTTCTTCTCTGCTAAGTCCTTGATCTTTTCAGAGTTGATTGCAACAGAGCTGCGTACATGTATGCAGAATTCCATCTGATCTTCACACACATTCTGCACAGTGTTCTGCCAATGCCAGTGAATGAGCTGCCATGTCAGACTACCTTCAAGCAGTCCTGCAGAGTAAGCCTGCACCCAGTCTGCATATTCATCCCTTGTCTCAATCTCCAGCACTGCCCACCTGCTCAACAATCATGTAAGAATTGAGACAAGTAGTTCTGAAGTACTGATATGCAATCCAGAAGAGCAGAGGTTCACTTGAAAAATTCACCTTGGCTGCATTTGAATGTTAGAAACATGTCCTGTAGCCACACATGTAGAAACATGTAATTTTGTATGAGTAAAACAAATCCTATAAAAAGATTCTTATTATATTACAATATTAAGTAAAGTATGAAGAAAATGTGATTACCTTATTTTACAGCAGCTCACTAAACATGAGTAGGAGAAAAGAACATCATTTTCTTATAAGGTTTTCAGGCTTCACTCAATCATCCTTCTGATGAGGGCAGTGCAAAAGTGAAGACAGAATAGTTAGAAGTAGTGGCTTAAGACACAGACCGCAGGATATAGATTTTCTGCATTAATGTCGTTCTTCTAAATAATATTTAATAATTCAGTTCCTACACAGAAAAAAAATCCACTTAATCCTCATTGCAAGAACAAGATAGCTAAGAAGCAATCACTGTCCATTCTGAGAATGAGACAATACCCATAGATACTTAATGTGGGTAAAATGATTTTGAATCTCATATATATAGTTACCAATATTCTTGAAAAGATTAAATAAATATGGTGAAGGATATGATATTGACCAATAGTGGGCTCTTGTGAACACAATAATAAAACTTCAGACTACCTGAGTGGCTATTATTTTATCAAAATGGGCTTTTCTCCATGGAGTTAGCTTCACATCACAGCAAAGATTTTTGTGCATGTGTGTGTGTGTGTGTGTGTGTGTGTGGGGGGGGGCATGCACATGTGTGAAATATCTGTTGTTATGCAGTGTCCTGTTTTTATAGCCCTTCAGAATCACCTGTGCACACTTTTAATATTCAGAAGTTCATACAAAAGAATTTATCATTATTTCACTCACCCTGTGACATCAATTTCCTGTTTGTAGTATGCACGACCTACTCCATATGGAATCTCCTCCATTTCATTCCCTTGGCCCCAGAAATCTATGTGAAATCCTGCATTTTCACTCCAGAACACTGTAGCGGAATAAATGCCATCATCTTCCTCTCTGTAGAGATGAATATAAATTAAGACAAAAAAATATTAAGCGGCATTAACCGTATTTAATCTACTCTTAATTTCCTTATCAGTATTTCTTTTATTTGTTATACTACCATTTCTAAATATTTTAAACTTCAAAAGATTTATTAGAAATCCATATATTATGATTTTGCCCCAGTAACAAAACTTGAACATAATGTTAATTTATCTGTAAGGCCATTTCATTTCTGCACCAAGTTCATTACTAGCTTCTGACAGTTTTCATATTCTTCACTATGATAACCATGACATATAGATAATTAACCGATTTTTGAAAATATGGCAAAGTTAATATATTTATGAACAACAGTAACAAATAAAAAATTTGGTTCATGAGACAATTAAGAGCAAACTTGCTACCATTTAATTCAGAACCCTTTGTCTTCTCATCTGCTTTCTAAAATCGTTAAAATTAAAATATACAGAACTATAATTTTGCCTGTAGTTCTGTATGGGTGCAAAACTTGGTCTCTGACATCAAAGGAAGAACATAGACTGAGGGTGTTTGAGAAATGGATGCTAAGGAGAGTATGTGGACCACAGAGGAGTGAAACAACAGGAGGCTGGAGAAATCTTCATAAGGAGAAGCCTTAGAACTTGTTCTGTTATCCAAACGGAAATATAATGATCAAGCCAGGAAGGATGAGATGCGCAGGGCATGCAGAATGCATGGCAGTGAATATGGGTGCAGGCAGAATTTTGGTATGAAGGCCTTAAGGAACAAGACCGCTAGGAACACCTAAGACTTAAATGGGAAGACAGCATTGAAATGGATGTTAGAGAAATAGAAATGAGTGTGGATTGGACTGTTTTGGCTCAGGAAAGGGACCAGTGGTGGGCTCATGGGAGAAAGGTATGTGAACAATTGTGTTCCATTAAATACTGGGAATTTCTTGAATGGCTGGGCAACTGTTGACTTCTCAAGAAGGGCTCACCTCCATGGACTTAGTTAATTAATAAAACAACGCCTTTTTAAGGTGCCAATATTCCTCATGTCTCTAGGAGACCGCTGAGCAAAATTAGGCAAAACGTTTTCTGCCCAAGTAGTTTCCAATACCTCCGGTAGATGGGGAAGTATCGGGTACCACTGCCAGCCTCGTTGGCTGAACGGGGCTGATAGCGAGCACCAGTATCAGAAGGGTATGGCGACTGGTAGAATATCAAAGGGGGACGTACAATAGACTATTAGTCGCAGTGCATGGGGAAACCCACCCCCTCCAATAATAATAATAATAATAATAATAATAAGGTGCCAATATTAATGTACCTGATTAAAACATTTCTCACCTTTTATGGAACATGAATGTTTAGTTTTATGTTTGACAGAGCCTGTCACTGGAATTTATCCTGGGCCAAGAAAATTTTCATATCCTACTTCTCAAAATCCGTTTTAATATTATCCTTGTATATGATTAGGCATCTCAAAAGATCAATTCCTCTCAGGGTTGCAGCCTAAAATTTTGTATACATTTCTCTTGGCACACGTATCTTGCAGATCTCATCTCCTTACTATTACAAACGTCCCACTGAGATTTACGATAGTAACGATGGACAGTACAGCATTCTCGACGTGACGCCCTGTAATCATGTAGAAGGTGGGGCACGTTGCTTCGAAACATTGGTAAAATTCTACAAGAATACACCGCCTTACATCTCAGAAGACAGTAATTTTCAAGCCCTCCTGTATTTCTATAATTTCTTCCTTATGATAATTACAGAACTATTAAATAAGCTGCTAAGAATGTTCCGTGAGTTAACCTCTATCAAAATATTTTACTTATACTCAGTCCATGGTGTTACATGACGCACATTCTCTAAAGGAAGGCTAAAAAATAAAATCGCAATTTCAGGTTATGCTCGTCAGTTTATATTTAATAGTACTCAAAGACCTGCCAAGTAAAAGTCAACAGCTGGGCATCAAATACACACACGATGATGGTAATTCCCCTGGTAATCTCTGATGTGCTTGCACTACTTCACGTCCGCATTTCGTGTATCTGCAGTTATCTGTGGGCAGGAGTCATGTAGTTATGGGCGGCTGACAGACGAAAGGACAGATCAAGACTCAGGCTTTTGGGAGACTAACTGTAACCGCACCATGCAGGAACCTCAGCAATGTTGTTGATTTACATTTTTATTTGCAATGTACTTCATGTAAACAAACTGTACTACTGTTAACAAGAGATGATACAGAATTGACCCCAGCACCAGCAGACGCCAAGGACAACATCTGGTCTTTCTGAGGGACAAGCAAGCTGCAGGTCACTTGAAACCCCCAGAACGGAGCAGGAAGTATCCCGCTGTGTTTTCTGGGGATTTCAATGCTTAACTTCGACGGTGCGAGTCTTTGAAAATTTGAGACTTGACAGATACGAGTCGCAATAATTTTCGGAGGGGCGTACCGAGCGATCGTTAGCGTAGCTTCATTTATTTGAGAGCTGTCAGAAGGACCGTCTTGTACTTAGGCCCAAATTAACATGGATCTTGTTAGGGATTGGCTGAATGCAAATGAGAGAAACACCCAAATTTTAGGTTCAGCCAATCAGCAAAATTTCAGAGGAGAGGAATCCAGGCGTTCCCGGAACCGTCGGGACTTCTGCCTCTCCAGAGCAGTCATTACAAGTCATTACAAGGGAATAACAGCGGTGAGACATCAACAGTGAATAACAGGAGTGAGTATCCAAAGGGAATAACCGGAGTCAGTAGTAACCTCCCGGACGTTAAATCGGTGTTGGCCCGAGTCCGGTGTACAAATTCAAAGTGCTACAGCCGGGTAATGGGTAATTGTAGTGCACATCTACAATAAAGCGCAACAGTGTTGGTGAAGTGCGTGTTTTCAGTGTTCTCTCTCTCCTTGTGTGAGCAAGGCCCAGAAGTCGCCCTGAGACAGAATCTCGTCCTACCGTCTGAGAAGTCGGAACCCCAAACGCCCGCCTATCCAAATCCCCACCTTTGTTTTCCCCGCTCCAAACTCGTGGATTTCACCCAAGTCCACTGGCGCCCATTCAAATTCAAATTCAGAGCAATCCCACACCCTACCCTGAACCAGACAGCTACAAGGAAGCGGCGGATGAAAGTACAGACCACAAAGGGGCGAACGTGAAGGACAGTAATAAGTGACGACCAACTCGAGAGGCTTGAAGTCTCACTGAGCGGTAACGACGACGAAGAGGAGGGCGGTAATATAACCTATTCATTCGGGGGTCGTTATTTCATAACGCTATACCGATCACAGCTGTTGAGCGTCGAACTATGTGGACGGTTGATTATGTGGGCGAAATGAAAGAAATTTGATAAGAATGCTTTCAAGGTTATCATCGATTGCCGAAAGAAGGAGAACTTTTTCTCTCCACCACCGCCCCAAAATCTGCTCTACGGCCCACACATCTTCCTAATCAGTGGGTATAGTAAGCTGTATTCCCAGTGACAAGAAGGCCGTGGCGTTAAACTAACCACTCACTTCCATGTAGCGCAGAGAATAAGCATGGGAGGAGTCATATCTCTTTCTCCATACGTCTTCATGGCGTGGTGCTTAATTTAGCACAACTTTACCTGTTATGATATACATATTGTGGTTTTCTCGGTTATGAAACTGTATAATCTCATAGATAATTTCCAACACTAGGGACTCATTTTCAGGGTAGGAGTTGAAGGCAGAAGGTTCATCAAAACGTTGATAATCACCTACGAGATTATAAGCTGTCATAGCACAGAAGACCACCATCTTAACTTTGCTTTCAGGCCTTTATTCGTATGGAGGATCAGAGGAAAATCACGAAAACCTTCTGTCAGATGTGTTGCCGCTCTACCAACTCAGACATTTGCCCTCTAATAAACGTTTAATGATTTACAAGAAATGTCGAATAAACTGAGGAAGTTGCGCAAGACTACAGAGATGGAGTGCCGTGTTAGGTTGTGTTGACTCCGGCAAGATTAATTCTCTCTTATGAAAAACTGATGTCTGGAGCATGGGGAATGCCTCCGCATGACATACTTTATTCTCAGAACTTCACAAGGACTTCATCCTAAGAGTTATTGTAATACAGCACGCCTAATGAACTTTGTCCAATGCCAGCCAGCATATTAGAGCGTGTCTCGTCTTTCTACCGTTACAGTTAGTCAACACAAGCGATTTCGCTGGGAAAATGCGATCGTTTCTCTTTTACAGTACAGCTGTTACTAAGCCATCAACTGACTCCTTATTGGATGTCCCAGAAATCTGAACAGACGCGTTGTCTCAGTCTTTAACAAACTCACCCACTTTTTTTTTCGTGTCATGATAAAACCCTCGAACAATAACATATTCAAGAAACAACAAAAATGGAAATTGAAGAGAATGTATGAATTTTCAACGGGATTTTTCAAGCTAATGATAAAACATTTTATGAAAAGTTTTTACCAAATATTAGGATGATCATATCAAGGAGGGTGAAATAGACGTGATATGTACACAGAAGGCAGAGGTAGATGACAACCGCAAACAACGTTGTAGCTAGAAAATATGAAAAGAGATTGTCTGACATACCTCGGTGTAGGTAATGCATAATTAAAAATAAATATTAAAGAACTAGGATGGAAGTTCTCTGGTTGAGGATTGCGTTCAAAGATGGGTTCTTGTGAACAAGACAATGGAATTTATGATTTGAAGTTCTCACAGCTTTGGTTATGAAGAGTACTATATTTTGGGATATAGCACCGTGTAGCCCCTTGAAAGTAAACATACGTTTCGAAGGAACATAATGCCTCCATCTTCAGGGTCGAATAATAAGCAGAGAAAGTAACCAGAGCGAAAGCAGGTTATAAGCAACTCCGCTTTTTCTTCGACCTGAAGATGGAGGCGATATTCTTCTCCGAAACATCGGTTGACTTCCAACAGACTATACGGCGTTATATCCGAGAAGACAGTACTCTTTAAGATAATAGAACCTTGGAATTTCTTGAGTAAGAGCGGCTATCAGATTCTTGAGAAGTTTGTTGCATGGGTTCCGTTACGCAGCAAAACCAACTTGGAAGACGTTCAGAAAATGAAAGAAACGGGAATTTCCTTCCGACAACGTTATCAGTATTTACACATTAAGTCATCCCACATCGGTTGATGTTGCAATCCGTTTCCAGATCAACTCTTCAGGGTCATAACTGTTGTGTTCGTTCACAGGCGAAAGCAATTTCCATAGTCACCTTTGTAGGAGCAAGTGATGTCACTGATACATTTAGTAAAGATGCGTGGAAAATGGACATCTTTGAAGAGGTCTGTCTCCCTGTATCAATTTAAAAATATCTCCTGGGTTTTGTTACTGAAAGCGAAGCGGCTTGCACATATGTATACACATATCAAAAGTTGCACAAGAAATATATAAAAATCCCTTTTATCAGAATAGAAGTGTAACATCTGCTGATAATTCAACGAGAAATCTCATAATTTGTTACATAAGCTCCTTATACTATTAATTTCCTCTACTTTATCCCGTATTACTTTCCAGTCCATTGCTGAAACACTAAGCTACAAGCTGAAAGGTCACTGGTGCGATTCCCGATGAGGTTGGATTTCCTTCCAGCCGCACTATGGCCTTGGGATTGACTCAGACTCTAACAGAAATGAGTACCAAGAATCTTCCTGGGGGTAAAGGGCGGCCGACGTGTTAGGTTGCCAACCTTACCGCTATCTGTGAGCCGATTATCTATAAAATGTGGGAGCCTCGACGTCTCACAACCCCATGGGCCTCCATCGCCTGCTACATGGTGAGCTTTACCCTTTTTATTTATATAGATAATACGTCGAGGCTGATGTTCAATGCTACCTCCCACGAATAACAAGCTCAAATAATCAATAATCATTTCAAATTATCAATATTCATAGAACAGGGAAGATATATTGAAACACAATATTGCTTGCTCGTTCGTGACATACCATAACTTACGTTGTGGTGTGGTAACACAAAATTACATAATTCCGGAGCGTTGCTCTCACCACTACATTACCTACAGAGAAGGATGTGAAAGGAAGAACCTAATTTGAGATAAGAAACCCGTATTATATTTACCCATTTGCAGTTCATTTTACGGCATTATCAGTAATTCAGACCATACAGCGCCGAATGCTAGGTTAGGTAATGAACCGGAAAGGACGGGTAAGTAAGCGGCTGTATTATTTTCAAGATATTATTTTGACACTGGTCTCTAAGGACTGAACAAAATTACGAAAAACCTCAGTCAGAATAGCTGATGTCTCAGTTGAGATTCGAACCGCGCATCTCTCGAATATAAATCAAAAGTAAGATTTGAGGCTTTCACGGCGGTGACTATGAAGAAAGCAGTCTTCTGGGATTTGGCACCGTGTATATGTGGTGTTAACCGACGTTTCGGAGNACGGTGCCAAATCCCAGAAGACTGCTTTCTTCATAAATCAAAAGTTTTGCCGCCTGAAAGAACTCGCTAGATAAGATAACTCTCCACTGGATCCCAAAGAAATGGAGTATAGGCGTAGACTGGATTCATTTGGCTCAAAATAAAATACAGTTGCGGACTCTTGTGAGCACAGAACTAAACTTTTTGCTTTCCCACATTGGCCAATACTCCAGTCTGGCTATTATGCGCCGGCGGGTGTCTAAAGCTGGATAAATACGAGATAAAATATACATTTCTTCTTCCACATTCAAGAGAAGTTAAAATTCGCGTCCTTAACCTTGAAGATGGTAGCTCTAATATTTGCCAAAACTTTAGAACACTTTAAAAAAGTCTACGCAGAGCATTCCCGAAAGCCGAAGCCTACAAAATATTCTGTCCTCCTTGCATTCAGTCGTATGCATTGTGTGTGTGGCTTTTATGCCAAAGTGTTCTGGGTTTTCGTTATCTGCCAGGAATGGGAAGCAGGCAGATTCACTGTTCGACTATAAAGCTCCGTGGCCTGTAGTCCGCAAGCTAACTATACCGACCGAGCGACCACTGCTTGTCGGCGAAGTTAGTGTCAACTTTTGCAGATAGAGGGGTATCGTGTGGTCAGCGCAACGAATCCCCACGGCCGTTAATCTCGGTTTTCTAGACCGGAGCCGCTACTTTTCCATTCAAGTAGCTCCTCAATTATCCTCACGAGGCTGAGTGGACCCCGTTCCAGACCCAGCACTTCTCAGCAAATCTGGTAGTGCCGGAAATCGAAGCCGGGACCTCTGGACCTGTAGCCAGGAACTCTGAGCACTAGACCACAGAAACTGTGGATCACTGTTCGACTATAGGACCAAAATTTACTTTCTCAAATATGTAGTCGTTGAAGTGAGAAAGCAGAGCATGGTTATGTTCGAAATGTGAGTAGCGCTGTTGCATTTCATCATGCCAGTTTCTGCGCCAGGATTCTCCACTGAGTCGCTCGATGGTACGTTCATCTTGCCCACTGTTCCCTGACCGAAGTGTGGGCTGCCATAGCGCAATCGGACAGGGACTAAGTTCCTAGTCTCGGTGGAGGCAACATTTTCCTTCTATTCATGCGACCGCCTCTGTGGTCTAGTGGTCAGAGTTGCTACCTACAGATACAGAGGTCCTGAGTTCGGTTCCCGGCGCTACCAAGTTTTCTGAGATGTAGTAGTCTGGAACCGGGGTCCACCCAGCCTCTTGAGGATAACTGAGGAGCCATTTCAAGGAAATAACGGTTCTGCTCTAGAAAACCGAGATTAATGGCCGTAAGGATCCGTTGCACTGACCACGTGACACCTTCTATTCGCAAAAGTTGGCGCTAACTTCGCCGACATGCGGCGGTCGATCGGTCGGTATAGTTCGCTTGCGGACTACAGGCCACGGAGTTTGTTTTCTTCTATTGATATCGTCCAGACCGTATCTGGGTTCCTCAGCATCCTACATCGTTTGGTAGAACTAAGAAATTGAACTATAAATCTGGAATCAGTACAATACAGTGTACACTCACCTGCCAATCTCCCCTAGGATAACTGCGAGTATCCCTAGGGCAGAGACGACCCCGACAATGCAAGTGCTTACACGTGTCTGGAACCACGAGGCACCAACCACCTTCAGCATTCTTGGTGACGTTGGAGTTCGGACGTGATGACGAGAACATGGAACAGAGTCCGCCTGCAGCAACAACAATATATTGTTTCACTGAACATCACGACTCACTGAATTTCCCTTGTCCTTCCAGACAAACACTGGGATAGTTCACTGACCTTTTCCTTGCTACACATGTAATATGTAGTTTAGTATTATATAAGAGTTTAAGCTTTCACGTCACCGTTGCATAGGAACAGCCGTGGCAATGAATTGTTGAAACAGTGGGAATAAAGCATTCCTGCGGCAACAAGGATAGAACACGTGAAATCGAACCCTGGGCGAAGGTGCTCTCTGCTTGTAACCCGTGTGGAGGCAGGGTCGAATACCTCCACCGTGACCCTGCGAGTCGTAGGAGGCGACAATAATGGAAGTCTCAAATCTGAGACAGTAAAATATTGTCACGTGTTGGGTATGTGACGCGACAAATAACTTCACGCCGTATTGGATATAGCGAATTTATTGCATATTCGCTGACATTTACACAGTTTACAATTTTACAACTACTGCCATCTGCAGTATCACACTTCTCTTACTTCCATTCACTCCGGCGGATGCTAGACCGCATCTGACTGGTTACTCCCTCTCACTGACGAATACTCCTGTTATGTAGCTTCCGCACTGACAATACAGAAAAGAGTTACGGGATAGCTTTCACTGTTGTGTGACGTCGTGTTTACCGATTGCCTAGCAACAGTCGCGGCACGGGCTCCCCTGTTGCGTGACGCCGTATTTACAAAGGCGTTGCTCGGCAACGCTGCGTAGCAACCAGCGCGCTTCGGCTCAGCTCGGCTCGGCACGAACAAATACTGCTTTCCTTACTGTTGCGTAACTTGGCAACAGACCGTCTGTCTTCGTGGTAACTCGTTCCACCTCCCGTTGCCCAGCAACGGTTAGACATGTCACAATATTGTCACGCGTCCCAAGGGACTCGGACGTGGGAAAAACTGCGCTGGCAAGAGCCAGCAGCATATACAAAAGACAAACCCGTCCTCTCGTCGGAGAAGGCGCCCCACAAAAGCAATATTGTAACTGTCAAAAAGTAATAAATATATGTCAGTCGCAATGTGACTTTGACTTTGACCAGACAGTTAGTTAATTGAAGCGAGACAGTTGAATCGAGTTAGTCGATTCGAGACAATTGAGTGGGGTTCTAGCAGTCGCTGAGAACAACTGGGTCGCCGAGCAGAAGCAGTAATTGTAATAGTGAAGAAGAAACATCCGTAGACGTTATAAGTGATAACTGATAACAGTTGTACTCGCTAGTGTAAAAGTGAGAGTTAAATAAACATATTCGCCCAATCTAAATCCGAGTGAATTGATTTGTCGCGTTACATAGGCAACACGCGACAGTATTGTAACATGGATGGACACAGCGTTGCTAGGTAGTTAGTTAGTTATTTAGAGAGGGTGGGTTTCCCCATGCATCGCGACCAGTTTGATCTATTGTGCTTCCCTCTATGATATTCTACCAGACTCTATACCCTACCGATACTGGTGCTTACCATCAGTCCCGACCAAGCCAGCGAGTTCGGTCTCTACTGGCTTGGCGGTATCTATAATGCTTCCCCCATCTATCAGAGGCCTTAGAGACTACTGTTGGGTGGGAAATGTCCTTGAATTTGGCTCAGTGACCTCCTTAGGAAATATGAGGTTCTTTTACGTGCCGTAAAGCTACGACACGGGGCCCACGGCTTAAAGTCCCTCCCGGAGGACTTGTTCCCTGAATTTTTCCGCCCTTAAAAATTCCACGACCTCCGCCGGGTTTGAACCCGCGTACTACGAGTCATGAGGTGGGAACGTTACCTCTAGACTACGGAGACCGCTGCGTTGCTAGGTAACTGACCGGTAAACAAATATTACAGAAACGAGTGTGCAACAATAGGGCGATGACAATGCATGGTTAGACACGCCTGACAACAATACATGATATCCTTTGCTGAGCAGCGAAGTGTTTTCTGTGGAGGGTGCGTGGCGAGCATATATATAGGCAGCAGTGAAGACTTACTGTCTCAGAATTGAGACTTCCCTTTTCTTCGCCTCCTACGATTCGCAGGATCACGGTGGAGGTATTTGGCCCCGCCTCCATATGGGTGTAAATCGAGTTATCAGATCTGGAACCGATTATTTACTGTCACGTTACCAGGATACACGTGACAGTATTATTATACAACAGTCAACAAAACAAATTCGTAATAAAAATCAATAGTTTAGTTTATTATGTATATTTGCCATATGTTTCAATCCAGCTGGATCATCACCAGGCAATTTTCATGAAATGTACTATTCGTACTGAATTTCATTACTAATGTGGATCCATATGTTTTCCTTTGGCGCTAGAGCCCCAATTTGGGCCTTGGCCACCTCCATGAAACTCTCCGTTTCACTTCAGTAGGTTTCACTTCGGTAGGACTCCTTGGGCGGGTGATCCGCTTATCGCAAGGCCTCTACCTGTACACAAACACAGAGAAACACATACACACCCAAACACTAATCATCCATGCCCTGAGTGGGATTCCAACCTATGATCCCGGCTTCCGAGCGAGCGAAGACAGTTGTTGCCTTAGACCGCTCAGCTACCGTGACCGGCTTGATCCATATTAGTGATCATTAATATTGTGACATGTTGCGCAAAGCCGAGCCCCCCCACACCAGCAGTGACGCGGCGGGTGAGTCAGCGCTCCCCTCCCACCCCTCAGCGGTAACGTAACGCTCGCGTAATAGGCGAGTAATCACCCCGCATCCTGGCAGCTATGCGCGGTGACGTCACGAGCGGAGCCGAAGAGAGCCGAGCGGAGCCGAAGATAGCCGAGCCCCCGCAACCTGGTAACTATGCAAGGCGAGTCAACAGCGGTGACGTAACAGGATGACGTGGCACTCATTACGCAACCGGCAAGCACTGCAGCTATATAAGTGAGCTGCACAGCTGGTACCAGTCAGTTGTACTGTAACAGTCGCCGAGTTTGTACTGAGTCAGTCAGTGAGTCCTGGAGCTACCTACGAGTCAGTCCTCGAGCTACCTCCGAGTTAGTTACGAATTAGCCAGCAACCAGTCAGTTGTATTGTGGCATTTGGAGTGCACTAATTGTGATACTGCAGATAGCAGTAGTTCTAAAACTATAACTTGTGTGATTGTATGAGCGAGTGTGAAATAAAATTCGCTATACCAAATACATCGTGAATTTATTTGTCGCGTTATACGAGCGATACGTTACAATATAAATATCATTGTGATTCTTGTGTTTCATTACATTAGAATGTTAGTCGTAAAATGTTAATCGTTATAACTCAGGAGTTAAAAAGTTAAAACTGATTTTTTTGGTCTGTAATGTTGTATCATGGAGTAGAGGGGTTTTCTGGGAGGCTGCGTTGTTTTGAATTATGTGCACAATGCATGACGATTTTCCGCATGTAAGTAACGTACGTTCTATTTTTCTTATTCCATTGAGGGAAAGCGGTAAAATTATTGCGTATGTTGTATTGCCTTATGTATAGTCAAAGTCAAGGTTATATTACGACCGACGGCCAGTCGGCCAGTCTGTCTTGAAATAAAGCACCCGTTTGGGGCGTAAGACAGGACCTTTATTAACGTCAGACATTTGCAGGTTTGTTGATGTGGGGCGCTCTCTCTGACGAGAGGACGGATGTCGTTTGCCACATTCACAGACAGCAGCAATAAATATTGTCGCGTGTTACATATGTAACGTTGTTGTGCTCTTCCCTGGTAACCTAATTCTGAGAAACCAGTGGTCACGCGTCTCCTAGGTAACGCGACGAATAACTTCACGTAGGTCGTGGATTTAGCCAATATTTTGGACACTCTTTTACACACTCAAGTATACAATTATCATCACGCTCAGTGTTACAGTTATTCTAGCACAATTAATCTCGGCTGCTCGACTTCAACTGTCTCGATTCAACTAACTGAAAAACTCTTCGGAGCTGGGCTATTATAACCTGGTTTCGGACGGGACAGAACGCACCATCGGCCAGGGTTTAATTTCACGTGTTCTATGTTCGTTACCGTGGAAAATCATTATTTCCGCTGTTTCAATAACTCGTTGCCACGGTTCTTCCTAGGCAACGGTCTCTTGGTATTCAATTTGTCGCTGTGGGAACCCAAAAATTTCCATTCTTTCCGTTGCTCAACGTTGGACTACATATAACATGTTACAATATGTTGTCAGTCCAGACTCAGTAGAGCAGATCATGCCCATTCATTAGTAGCTCCTGCTACAACGGCAGTCTAGTCAAGTTCTGTATAGGGTACCATGTCTTCACACGTAACATCTCGGCACGGACCTCGCAGAAAGCAATGTTGCTCTATTGCATTCGTGTGTTTGGATGCCCACGTGATCGCTACTCCGCCACTGCATAGCAACGGCCGTTGTTTACAGAGGCATTACTTAGCAACGGCTGCTGTAGAACTGCTTATTTAGTAGTCGTTGCCTAACAAATGGGTCTACCTGCCATAATATTTATCACTTAACGAATATCAAAATAGTAAACGTAACATTAGTAGTGTTAGAAGTGAAGTAAGCAGTCATGACCTTGTAGTAATATTTTGCTGATACTCCCTTTGAAGGGCCGAGGAAAACATAGAAATCCTCAAAATTTGATTCGGGGGCAATGAGATTACGAACTCATTCGCTGTATTTAAAGTGTTTCTCATGATGGCCAGTTAAAATAAGCATGACTATTATTTTGGAAACTTTCCATCTCTTTGTGTCCTCACCCCCAAAAAGAACACATTTCGTAAATTTGATCACTCCCCTTTATCAGATGTCAGTCCTGTGATCGAAACCAGCTCCTCCTATCAGGCCCAAATCGAGTAAGAAGGCTGTCCTCCTTCTAACTAACTTCAAGGAGCTGAGCCCTTGTTGAGAAGCTGTCAGTTGTGCAGCCACTCAAGAACTTCCCAGCATTTTATGGAATCCGAAGCTTCATTACTGTGCATACAAGAGCCCTCCCCTTCTCCCAGTCCTGAGCCAGATCAATCCAGTTCATACTGCCACATCCTATATATA